GTTTTTATGAAATGTTTTCTTGATATTTCCTACAAATAAATATTTGTCTTTAAAAGGCAACAATATAGTAATTTTGATAGTTTTTTTACTGTGAATGTACATTTTTGTTGAGTTTTTTAAAACAAAAACGTATTTAAATGATTAATTTGAACCAAAATTAAATTTATAAATTTTTAAATTAAAATGTTATATTTTGTTAAAAATAAATTGTGATATAATCTCAGGTATAATTAATTTAAAATTATTATTTAAAATTATTTAAGTATGGTTAATAATTGTTGAACAAATACGTTGTTGATGACATATTTCATTCTTCATTGAAAAATCTTTAAAACCTTTTTTCATATTTATTTTTAAATTATAAATAATTAGGTGCTAACTTTTACTAAATTTTTAAAAAAAAAATAAGATATTTTTATTTGTTAAATTGTATTCAAACATCAAACCCTAGGGAAACAATCAAGGTATGCATTTTACCCAAATTTTAATATTAAGTTAGATAATTAACTATTAATTTTCTGGCTCTGAATCCTTCTACACGTCATGCAGTAAAAATATTTTAATATTATGAACATCCTTCATTTTCATTAGTATCAATATAACTGGATTGAACTTCCACTTTTTTAGAATTAATATCGTCACTATCACTCAATTGAAAGTTCGAATTTGATGTTCATGTTGATGTTTTATAGTTTTTCTAAGTTTACGTTTTTCAGCACTGCTTTTAAATTTTCGATATTTATCATGTAGTCGACCACTCATTATAATGTTATTGTATACCTATAAAAATGTACCTATAAAAACTGGTGATGGCATGAAATAGCAGTGATTTTTTCATTTTTAAGGAACGGATTTATATTTAAATGCATATTTTTTTTATAAACGAGATATTTCAAATTCGATAAGTAATGTTCATGATTTAAATCATTCCTATTAATGTGATTATACTTTTATTTTACATATTTTTACATATTCTGATATAATTACATATTTTTGTATATTTTTGCATATTTCAACAATTTGTAAATATTTTTAAATATATTTTATCATTTCATCATTCATACATCTTCTTCGTACAAAAATACAAGAAATTATTTCAAATTTAGATCCAGAAACTTCTATCGCTATTGGAAAAGCTCAAAATATTATGAAAAATGAAACATTGAAAAATAATTTAATTTTCATTTCAGTGAATTTTAGTTTTATTGCACATACAATTACAATTACAAAATTAGAAACAAAAAATATGTCCTTAAATTATAGTATACAAATTGTCGAATCAACGATTGAAAAATTTAAACTCGTGAGCAGACCTATAGGAGATGTAAAAAAAAAAAATTATGCTGTTACAAAAAAAAAGTCCAAGCTATATTGATTTTAAAACAACCAATGACTTAATAAGTGCAAACATCCTTCTAAAAATTTGGAATTATCGCTTTCTGGTATTATGCGCTTTAAATATGCTTCAATTACATCGGTTGATGTGGAAAGATCATTTAGCTGTTTTAAAAATATTTTGAGATTTAATAGATGATATTTAACATTTGATAATTTAAAAGATATTGTAATCATTCAATGCAACAAATCATTTTCATAATTTAATAATTATATATATATTTTTTTTTTAATTCAATTTTTTCCCCGCATATTTGGATGTTTTAAGCATATATTTTATAAATTATACTTACATATAAATCCGTTCCCAATTCATAATGATTTCAAAGTAGCAGCCACAAATTGCTATTCAGATACTGAGATACTATAATTTTATGATATTAGATATATATACAGAATATTATGATATTACATGAAGTAGCTATCAATGCTATTTTCACTGCTACTTTTTCGGTAATAGTAGTAACTGCTATTACTACTGAAAAAAATTCGATCGACGGCCGCTACCCGCTATATATTGCGATTATGATAGTGTAATAACATTTGATATTTTAATAGCTTATTGATTATTTCAATATATTTATGTTTAACCTACTTTATTATTTTTATATTATATTTGATATTTACGAATTAAATAAACCTTAGAAATGCTACGTATATAAAACTATTTTTAAAACCTATTTTGCTAATTTTTTCATCCGTGAGGCCCCACATTTAAGCAAAAACTGTGAGGTCCAGGGCCTTGCTCGTCCCTTTCCCTAAGAACGGCCTTCATACTATGTTATGCTAAATAATATGTAAAAATATTTTATGCAAAATTAGGATAATACTCGTTTATTATATAGGAATAAATTTATTTTTTTTTAATTTGGTCGTTATTTTAATAAATAATTGAAAATGGGAAGTATTAAAAAATTTTCCTAGAGAAACAGAATGTTAACTAAACAATAATTCAAATACTATAAAATATCACACCCTTTTTAATAAATTTTGTATTGTTAACTCTCTTATCGTTAACAAACAAAAATAAGATAAATTATTAATATTCATGGAAGTTTGTTTTGCACATCCTTTTTTATTTTATGTACCTATTTACTGATTTTGATTCTATGTGATATATATTTAAAAATGTATTCGTAATAAAACAGTGTAATAATGTGTGAGTCATATGCGCTGATAAGTTAAAAAAGGCTGTGATTATGAGTATAAATACGTAAACAATTTTTCCAAGTTTACTTTTTCTGCTTATCATACCATATTTTGCTTATCTTAAATGTCTTTCGAGTTTTGTTTGATAAGGTATATAAAATGTAATTTCTGTTATATTTGAACGTTGAAATTAATTAAAAAAGTATATGTCTAAGCAGATGAATTTTAATGCCTAAACTATTATCATCAATATTTTAAAATATTGATTTTATTATGTATATTCGTTTAAAATTATAAGCAACAAATGTATTAACAATCAATATACTATCACTTTAATTTTAATTATTGATTGTAATATAATGCAATATATATTAAATGTATTAATATCTTCACAATTATTAGGTGTATCTTATTATTTAATATTATTTTCCAATATTTTACCAATAGTAATCTAAGTATTAAAAATTTCATAGGCATTGAGTTTATGATTGTTATTCTAATTTGCGTTAATTAGAAACATTTTTCTGAAATATTCTCTTTAAAAATCGACCAATACAGTTTCAAATTGATTAAGTAAATTAAAATTTGACTAATTTTAAAAATAAATGTTTTAATGCATTAGCTGAAGATGAAAACTATTATACTTGTTTAAAAAATTTACGTATATTTTCTTGACATTCATTTTGGTAAATTATGTTTTTAATGGTTTATGTGTTCATTAAAATGTTTATCATAATAAAGTACAACTAATTATGTATATTTTTAAAATAAGCTATATGTTACAGACTAATTTATGTCTTTAAAAAAATTATTGTTGGTCTACTTACTCATTGAAATATTATCTACCAATTAAAAAATTACGTTAATTTATTTTACCTTTCATTGATATCACTTAACTATTGAAACATAGTTAACTTCAAATTAACAAAATTTGAAGGAATTAATTAGGTCTTATAATCGGGTTTATAAACAATAAAGTAATTACTTTTTACATTTATCTTTAAAAGCACAAAATTTAATTTTTAAAATATCTTTAAACCCATTTACAGTTACCCTTTACCTTATATTTTTAGTAAGTTATAACTTGTTTTATAGCATTTGCTATTTGTTTTGCTCAATCACATAAATACCAGTACGAAACAAGTACGTTTCATTATTTCTAAAGATAGTTTTGAAATTTTGCATATAAATGCATGTTCGAGTTTTTTTTATACTGTTAAATGCCTATTTTAAATAAAGTATAATTTTATCAATACTTTTCCGTTGACGTTTTTATTTCATTTATTATATAAACAAAATATTTTTGAATCAAAAATAACTTCATATTTCAATCATATAATATTATATGTTTATAGACGCATGTTTTTCTAAAAATTGTTCTAAGAAATACTTCTGGAGGGTCACCGATTAGATTAATTTTATTTATAAACGGTAAACACATTGTCTACATCATAACATTTTAGATAAGCGTTAATGGTTGCATAAACGATACCAAAAGATTTTATTGCACCGACATGTCAATTGTTGTTCGCTACTAATTTAATATTTTAATCACTTAGTCTAATTCTACTGTTTATTCGTAATTTGTGTCAACTTTTGATCTATGTGTACTGTTTTAATATTAAAATTTCGAAAGCATATGTTGATATTGGGAGGCTGAAGCCCTCCAAACTTAATCAAACCACACCAGACGTTAAAATAAATTGTATATTTTAATATTTGACATTTATAATTTTTATTTTATTTTGTTGGTATGCGAGAATGGTCTAGAATATTTACGGCTTATCGTTATTGGGGAAAACAATATTTTGTGGTTAATATAGGAAATAAAAGAATAAATTTATACAATTAAAATTTGAAAAAATGAGTAGTTATTCAATACCTTATATTTTTATGTTCCCATTACCTGTATATATTTGGTGCCTCAACTATAATAAAGTAGGAGTAGCCACTAGTTTGTAGGTTGAAGCGTCTAAAAATGTCTGTTTACGCTAATGGATAAGACAAAAATGTTAATGTGGAGGGACACGTATTTGACCAAATATCCGCCTATGATCGAAAGATAAAGTCTTTTAACAGTCGTTTAAAGAGTTATTTATCGGGATTCGGTATCTCATGTGTGTTTTGACTGACGGTAAAGTCCTATATTGTAAGTATTGTGACGTTAAAGTAGGAGATAAAAAGCGACTTAATGTAATGCAAAATTTAAATGATTTATATATTTATTAAATAAATCATTGTATTAAATATAAGAACATATTTTTAATGCTTAAGTGCTTGCATATTTAGTGTTTTTTTAGTGATAAAAGTCCTTCGCCCTACTAATAATGTTTGTTTCTTTAATCGAAAAATGCACATGTTTTGGTTAAGCAAATATAATACATTATATAATACATTATAATACATTATTTTGATAATTTTCTGAATTATTTACTCAAAATAGTTTTTTTTTTCAGGTGACGTGTCCGAGGTTTCCAAAAAGCTTGTTTTTAAATCTAAGGCACAGGGTTCAAAAGATAATATATCAGTGATAACGGTATTTCTTCAGGATCCTAAGCAGTTAGTAGCCAAGAGAAGGGCTGTTATAATGGAAACAGCTATGGAACAAAGAAATGCAACTTCTACGCTCGCGTCATACGGTCAAGACGCTACTGATTTTGGTCCCGAGACGGATGTTGACACACCCGACGAACCAATTGGTTTAGCCAAACCTAAAGGTATGTTTATAATATTGAAGAAATATAAGTTGGCAAATAACAATATAAAAATAATAATTTATTTTATTTATAATTCATATATTACTTCAAAATATTAAAAGGAAATGTTGAGTTACATATAATACTGGTGAATTGTTAACATTTTACTATTTAAATACTAAATATATTGTTTTAGATCATTTAATTTTGGATTAGAGTTTGTAATATCTGAGTAGTGTTTTATTACTTATAAATATAAATTATCATTTACATTTCATAGTTTTACCATGGGTGTATTGGTACGTATACGCTATTTACCTGTCGGCAGATTTTCGATTTTTTGCATATACCTAAAGGTGCTTGTACACTGTAGATTTTTTTCTTGTAAAGCTACTCTAGCTAGAGCTCTCTACATTCAGTCTAGAAGTGTACACAAGATCTAGAGCGCTCTAGCGGTTGCTACTCTAGGGTCTAGGTAGATTAAATAGAGTAAACGAAAATCTACAATGTACACGGAGATTCTACACTATAGCTAGATCAGTCTAGATCTATATGTTCAGTTGAATAGACTAAATAGAGTACGTGGACATATTTGAATTATTTATCACCAGTGTTTTCGATATTGTTTTATTTTGTATACATATTTTTTTTGGAATTATTTGTACAATGGCCGCAGTTGTGTGGGACAAGCAAAAAACGCTTCTAGTGCAGTCCAGCTAGACCGATCTAACTCTAGCTGTATTTTTCTCTACAGTGTACAGGTACCTTAAAATAAAATATTTTACGGGTATACGCTCCTAAAATAACTCGTAGACCAAAAAAAACTTATTTAATAGTTCATTGGAAAAATTATTATAAACTAAAAAGTTTGAATTAAATATTTATATGTTGAAAATTACAGTTTATTTATAGTTAAATGTATTTTAAGTTCAATTTAGTAAGTATTATTTTGAAAAATAAATATTATTAAATATAATATAGAATATGGATTTTTAGCTTATAGTTCATAAATCTGCACCAAACCATATATAACGCGCAGCAAAAGTATATCTTGTGGTGTAGTATTTTATTGTCTTATTATAAGTTATAAAAATGTAAGGATTTTATTGAATTTATTCGAGTTTAGCGAGAGAAAAAAATGGTCGAACGAAGGGAAAACTTTTTTTTAGGATTATTAAACATATTTTATTAGTGCGTACCTATACCCGTAAATATATTTACCAATACATCACTAAGTTCTACTAACTTACAATACACTAGATATTTCTCAAAAACTTATTAATTGTGATGATATATACTCTATGTTAGAGTTTGATATTTAAATTATAGTAATTATATTTTTTTAGTAACTATTTAAAAAAAATAAAAATATAATGAAAAATATAAAGAATATAAAAATTAAATATTTGTATTTTCTTAAGATATATTACTGCTAATTCTCAGTTACTATAAAAATATTCTCATTAAATTAACTTAGTGTTTAAACTAGCATCTTATTTTTTTCTTAATTTTTTTTTTTAATGCTTATGGTTTTAATCCCTATATACCAGTGTTTTTAAGTTTCAATACTAACGAAATATGTTAAATATTTAAAAAGAAATTGTAGATGTTTAACGCTAATAAAGTACAAGGTTTTATTACTGTTTCATAAGTAATTTTTATGAAGTGTATGTTCACATGAATTTTCACCAAATTCCTGTGCATCATGAACACATTTCATTCTTTAGCTAATGATAACGAGACTAGTAGACCTATTGTAGTAGTTGTATGTGTTGATGCCCGACTTGAATAATATTCTCTCCTCAATGGTCAGTATTTTCCAACTCTGCTCCAATTGAAATTCGTTTCGGTCTCATTGTTATCCTTAATGTTATCCCCTCCCCTTAGATTGCCCCCATATCCCCTGTCCGCGGGTCGTTGAACCACCTACTATAATATAGTTGTGTTCATAATGATTTCACGGTGTGCACAAATACTGATTCAGTTGTATATATATATATATATATATATATATGCGTACACTTAAAATTGCATATAAGGATTATGTACTTTTTTCGCTACTGTTCTTCACTAATGTGTTATCCTTTTTTTAAAATCATCCCTTGTCTTTTCGCCACATTCTACAGTATCCTAACAATGGAAAACTGGCGCCAGCGGGGCGATGTTATCGTTGGTGTAACGAGTGAAAAATTGCATTTCCCCTTTTTCATCCGCGTGGTGAATATAAGGGTCTACCAGTTAACGATTGACATCTATAGGATAGTGTAATGTCCCTTTTGGCTCTCCCTCTTTAACACATATTATATTCTAAAAATACTTCTAACACTTGTTTTCATTAAGAGGAAGGAAGTATTACGAAAACAAGTCTATACAGTCATTGTTTTTTCTTTTTTTCTTCGAACTTTAATTACACGATTTAAAAAGATTAAACTATTAATTCTATATGATCAATATACGAGTATATATTTTTGAAAACTAAATTAGTTTTAATATTTTTCTTAAATCAGCTCTGATATTATAAAAATTTTAAACTTTTAAATAAAAAGTTATTCGTTGGCCATATATATATATGACTTTTTAAGTTTAAAATTATAAAAATGTATAGTTATTTTTACTCGCAAATATGTTTGTTATATTAAATGATAGCCAAAAAGTTTAAAATGTAATATTTTGTTTAATAATTTATTAATATGAATACTATAGTACCTACATGGGTGTATATTTAATAGTATATTTACAAAAAAAAAAAAAAAAAAGCCACAGACGTTACTTATAAATTTGATGTATTGAAAAAAACGTAAATTTCAATCATATTACATTTTATTAGTGTCCATATTAAGCAAACCTTGTTTTAAGGTGCATTAATTATTTATTGTAGTTTTTTTTATACTTTGAATAATCTCCGTCTAACTTAAAAATCTCGTACGTCATGTGGGCTTAAGTCGTAGGTGGTAGAATAACAATGATCTAGTTAATAAATATTAACTATATGAATCAGAAATTTGGTCAAGTGGTTTGTAATTTTGTTTGAAAAATCAAAAAAGTTATGAATATCTCTTCAATAATGGTAACCACTGACACACGAAATGTGAGAGAAAACGATCTCTAATTTTATTTCTGGCCCATTCGTAGTCGTGTGGTGGTCGCGTCGTTGCCCTTTACCCAATTACACTTATACCTTACTGTGTCTATCTTGCTGGTTGAAAATTATTCTTAATTTAAATTCTCGTTTCTATGTTAATTACTTTCCATTTTTAATTATGAAATAATAAAAATCGTCAATAAATTAACGCTTTTTATCTTTGAAAAAATAAGTTAATAATAAGCGTAATATAATATTACTCTTCAAAGAAAAATTAAAATATATATATATATATTACTCTTATACATGGCTAGCTGATATTCAGGTATTTTTAGTATTAATTTAATATATTTAACAATTACATTTTTTTTAAATAGATAACTCCTATGTATTATATACAAAAAAATTCTGTGATTTTTAAGTTTAGTTATTGTTGTTATTTACAATTATTTTACTATATTAATTGTCCTTATTTTTACTTTTACTTTTATTAATAAAAACAATTGAAACTTTTTTATTAGATAATGATTCTTGTACTATGATAGAATTATATATTAATTATTAGTTATTGTTTGGTGGCTTTATTTTTTATTATCGTTTTACATACTGATTTGTTATAAGATTTTTTCTTATATCTAGTGCTATTGTTAATTCATCAATTCCATGATTTTTCAATTACAAGAATGCGTTATATTATTGAATAATAATGTATACCCTTTGTCAAGATTAAGTTATTATTATTTAAGAATTTTACGGTTCTATCAAAAATAATAAAATAAATCTGATTTTCAAAAATAATTTCTCATTATTATGGATTAAAATTCCTTAGTATAAAATAAATTGTTTTGTTTGTGCATTTCAGTGACCGATAGTAGACATATTTTACTTTATTTTTTTTTTTCAGAATATAAAAATACATAATATGACTTCTATGTTTAGTATTATTTATCTATTTATCATCATTTTTTTGGAGCTTAATTTTTAATTTAATATTTGATTTTGGTTTATTAACATTTAGTTAAATTAATTAACTAATTTTTATATAATATATTAAATGTACGCTATAATTAAATTCTATGCATCTACATTTTCAATAATTTATCAATACGTGATTAACACATAAGACCAAAAATGAGAACTAAACTATTTTCATTTTTCAATGTAAAAAGTGCAAAAAGTTGACTATTAATTGCTTAAAATCTTATATATTAGCAATGACTGTTGCGAGAGATAATATTTGTAATTATGCATAATAAAAATATTATTTGTAATTACTGAATAGTACTTATTGTATGTTTGTATATTATATTACCATTAATTCTATGAAGTACAATTCACAAATGAGTACAATTCATCGTTTTATTGTTTTTATCCACTAGTCTTTATAGTTTTCCCCCAGGTTTTTCTATGAAAACATTTAAATAATTTTATTAATCATTGTTAGAAGTTTAAAAGCTATTAATAACATATATTACAATGTATTCATAATGCTGAAAATATTTTTTTTATTATAATTTACTTGAATCCTTATTATTTTCCATGATTTCAATGTTTTTACATTCAACATTTACAATATAATTGTAGATGAACTGTATACTTACCATCATAATTCATAATTCTTATTATAAACACTATTTGATTAAAGTAATTTTAAATGTATGATCTTCAGATGTAGATTATTATACAATATACTCTTTATATTAAATGTCTTTAAACAAATTTACGATTATTTTTTGTATTTGTATATTACAATTTAAAACAAACTTTAAGCATTATGATTTCTATTAATGTTTGTTATACAATTTTAACAAAATAAGATTTAAAATGTGTATAAAATTTTAAAAAAAAACTTATAAATGTTATATGTACATTTTAATTATATTATCTGTGTATAATATTTATAGATGAAGGAGAAGCTAACGTAGTTGACGAAAGTGGAGAAGATTCTGAAGAAGACGGTGGATGGAACTATTATAAAAAATCAACTGAAGGCACAGAAAAAAATCTGCATCAAAAGGACAAAGCTGAAAATAATTTTGATGTAAAGAAATATTTATAGTTAATTATGTAAAAAAAAAAAAAATATTTCTGTGGTAGTCGTGATTCACATACATTTCTTATTAATTGTCATGTATAATAAAATTGTTTTTTTTTTTTTATATAATTTCTGTAAAACTATTTCAGGTTGAGGACATGGATTATAAACTGAATCCAGATGCACCTGAGTTTGTACCAGTATCTTCACCAACATCGTCCATTACAAATCAAGCACAGCGTTTCTTGAAAATAGACAATGATGACTTTATATCATCGTCACCTCAAAAGTTTAAAGAGTCCATAGACAATGTAACTGTACCTGATGAGAATGACTTTACCAATGAAATTAAAGTGCACGCAGGAGACTTATCTAAGCTCAACAACCCACGTGGTAAACATTTTATTATTTAACAGATATACTATTCTAATTTTAAATAAATTAATTTTAGATTGTTATGTAAATCATGTTTTTTTCATTTTATCATACAAATTTAACCTAGTTTAACTAGTATTGTCTATGATTTATAATCATAAAGTAAAATAAATGTATCTAATATTGTTCCAATAACCTACAATATTATAAATTTTTATTCAACAAATGTTATTTTTTTTTCAGAGCCAAATGATGATTCTTCTATATTGAATGGTGTAAAATCTCTGAATGATGATGTAACTGATCATGATGAAACAGTTGATAATTTTGTGTTTCAAAATGAACATATTACTAATGGAAATTTAGATACATATCAAAATCCATTTGTTTCTGATGATAAGGATGAATTGAACAAAGTACAAGACTTATCTGAGTATATTAAAGATGATTCTCAAGTAGACAGCATAGATCCTTGTTTATCTATAATGGAAACGTCCAAAAATAATGATATTAATTCTATAAGCGGCGATGATGAATTACCAAATGTATCAAATATTAAGTTAAATGATGATTATTCAATGGATGAACATATAAAGTATGAATTGGACATGAATTCAAAAAATATTGATGACACAATCAACTCAACTACTGCAACTGTTGGATCAGCATTACAATTTGATGATGAATCTTCTAAAATCGTTGATGATTTCAAAAATGAATTTATGGATAATTTCCAAAATGAGAAATTTGGTCAGTATGAAGATCGCAAATTAAATGATAGTGTAAGTACAACAGATGCTATTTTAGGTTCTGAACCTCATACACCAATGCGTATGGATAATCAATCAACCTTTGAGTCTGAAAATGATGATGATCAGTTTTCAGAATCATTCAAGCAACAATTATTGCAATATGATGAAAATAACGATAAGGAAAACCATGATCCTTTTTGTTTTGAACAAATTGATGATCCTGCTGGAATTATACCTAATGTTACCCATGAAGTTAATGAAACAATTTCTGAATCAATCCGCAATAGCAACAGTGTTAACCCTAATAATAGTTCTTCAGATGAACATCAGGTATCCGAATTAAATAAACATGAACCTGTAGAAGAACCGTTATGTATTAAAGAAAAAGCTAAGCCTATTCGTTCAGTATATGAACAACAATATTTGCCAGAATCTGATTTCTCAGCAAGTATTCATGAAGCTTTATTAAATGCTTCTGAAAATGAATCTAATTACCACGAAGACCGTATCAATACTGAAAATATTGATCACGTTGATCACAACATTGTTGAAATTCATGATGAAAATAAACAAGCATATGTTGAATCACAAAATGTCGATGAACATTTGGAACAAGATGATTATAACCAGGATGTTAAAGAACCAATCTATACAGAAGATGTAAAACAGAATGTTAGTGATGTATATGGTTCTCAATTTCACGTAGAAAATCTTAAACAAGAATTTTATGATAATATGTGCAATATTAAACAAGAAAATGTAAATGTTGAGTCTGAACACAATATAAGTGAAAATGTAGAGTCTGAGTTTTCTGAACATAATGAGATATATGATGAGCAAAAGTATGTAGACAATTTCAAACTAGAAAATGATGTAAGTGATAATATTCTAAGTCATATTGAAGATCATCAAGATTTTGAAATTGTTGAACGAAAAATTGAAGATATTAAACTAGAAAACAATGATATTACCAACAGTGTGAATGATTATGCTAGAGATTCAAAAAAAAAATATAGTGATAATACAGATATTATAAACCATGATGGAGATTTTGTAACCAAAGATTTTGAACATGAGTATCAAAACCATATTACTGAAGATAAAATTGTAGAAGATTTGAAATCAGAAGACCAATTTGATATTGAGGCTGTTCAAAAGCATGCAGAAAAAAATGTTGAAACAGCAATACAGAATCAAGCAGAAAATATCGAAGTAACACATAAATCTGAAGTGTTAGAAAATATCAGCGAAGATTTGAAACAAGAACAAAATGTGATTGCTGAACCAGAAAATAATCATATTGACAATATTAAGTATGATAATACTGAAATCCACCAAATCCATGTTGAAGATTTTAAACAAGAAAGTGATGCAAATGAAATCGTACAAAATCTTAATTTAGATTTACAACCAGAGCACCACAGTGTTGAATCAATTCAAAATCATACAACAGATAGTGAAGAAGAAATGCATTCATCAATGATAATTCATTCTGATGTAGAAAACAATATGCCTCAGCCATACTGTTCAGCATCTGATACTTTACTTAATGAATCTGATATGATGTGTACTAGCATGACATTTGAAGAAAATTTCCAGAACAGAAACATGAGTGATTCACTGTATGTTATGGAAACAAGTTCAGATTATTTTGGTGATGAACTTCAACAAACTTCACAAATCAACAAATCTATAGATGAGACCAAAGTTGAAGAGCAGTCATCATTAAATACTAATAACGATATTGAACCTGTAAAAATTGAAAAAGAAATTATTACAGAAGCTAAATCTGAATTAGTTACTGAAACAAAAATAGATGACACAAAAGCAGTGAAAACTGAATCAATTCCCATGGAAATAGTTAATACACAAGATGAAAATAATAAGGTACATTATAAGTATAATATTATGAATTTACATTTATTTAATTACAAACAATTTTTTAAATTCTAGGTTGCTAAAATTGCAGTTGCTGCAGCTGTTGGCACTGCTGCTATAGCAGCTGTGGCTGGATCTAGCTTAGCTTCCAAGAAATCTAAACAATTAGAACCAACTGTATCTAAAGCCAAAACTGCCACAACTAAAACTAGTACTACTTCAACAAAATCATTAGCTTCAAAAACATCAGCTCCTATTCTTAAAAAGACTACTTCATCTACGACAACATCAAAACCATTATTAAGACCATCCACTGCTCCATCTACTTTTAAGCCAACTACTAAAGTTCGAACAACCACAGTATCAAAAACTTCTACTACTTCTACTTTAAAAACAACAACTGTAACTAAACCTGCTCCAAAACCTGCCTCTAAGACTACAATTCCTGCATCCCGACCAATATCAACCAAAACAACATCAACTACACCACGAACTTCTTTAACTAAAACAACACCAATATCATCACCGAAAACTCCTACTACTCCAAAAACTCCTGTAGCTACAAAGTCAGCTTCAACTCCCAGAACAAGTACTACTCCGCGAACATCTACATTGGTTACTAAACAGCCATTAACTAATGGTTCGCCTAAACCTTTGAACCGTCCAATTTCTGCACCATTGAAGAAACCTTTAAGCAGTGTAACAACAAATGGTACTACAAAACTAACCAATGGTGTTGTATCCAAGACATCAACTACAACTAAACCACCTGTCTCCTTAGCAACAAGAATGAGTTTGGCACCTCCCAAGTTGCCTCCTAAAGCAAAGGCTGTGCCTAAAACTGAAACTCTACCTGCGATGCCAGGGCCAATCAGAAGACCAAAAGTTGAAAAAAAGACTGAGACGGCCACTTCCTAGATTTGATATATCATATTGAAAAAAAAATACATAACTTATAGTTATTTTATAAAATTTGATTTATTATTAATTTTTTTATCATGTTTTATTTTTTGTGATTTTTAAAATGTGCTACTAAATATTTGTAAAAATTTTAATTTCTTTTAGCGGTTTAAAAATTGGAAGTTATTCGCTTTTTAGCAACACTATTGATAAATATTTTTAAAAATGTATGTTTTATGATTTTTATATGTAAGTGATACATTTATACTTATTTATCAAGGAACTTACAAACATTTTATATGTACGGTTTTAGTTAAAAAGTATTATTTTTATTGATACTAATTGTTTTAAAAATTATTTTTACCTATAGTACCAAAAAAAATCTGTTAACTAGGTTAAAATTGAGCTTTAAATGTAATTTTTTTCTAGGTGCTATATTTTATTTCAAATATTATTATACTATATTTTCAAACATTTTACAAATGACCTATTTATTTCAATGTATAATATTTTAAAAGTTTCACCTTTATTTTTTTAAATATTTTTCTATAAATGTAAAATTTTCAATTTCATGTATTATTTATCATCTTGATGTTTATTTGGTCTAGATTATTATTTTGATTATAATATATCCTGACTGTTCCACGCTTAGCTATTATTACTTAGTTTTTACTAAGTATGAATGTTATGTTAGCATTATATTATTTAGACTACATTAATAACATCAACAATATTATCTTTACCGCTAATAGCATGTTTTTATTTTCCTTATTTTTTATCAAAATGATAAAATCCTATATTTTATATGGTAATAAGTATTATAAAGGTTAAAAATTTTTTTTGATTAAATACATTTTATTTAAAAAATACTTGGATTTTTAAATAGAAACAATCATTTATTCATTTACCTCTGATTTTTAAAACTATTAGAAGCAAATTTGGGTAGGTACCTATAGACTGATTTATTTATAATTTTATATATTTATTTTGGTATTTTATTAACTGGTTGGTATTTAAAGACTGAAATAGAAGAATTATGCCAGGGATTCCCAACCTTTTTTACTTAATGGCACACTTGATAATTTTAAAAATTTTCACAGCGCACTTAAATAATAATGAATAATGTCATAATTATATATAATATAATTATATTAACATAATATATATAATACAAATTTAATTTGACATTTAAGACTGGTGTTTTTTACATAATTCCTCTATTACGGGTGAAACAGTTGAAACGATACAAACTAGATAATCAATGTCACCATCCACGTAAATCAAAAACATAAATAATTATCAACATATTTACGTTTAATTTTTAAATTTAAACTTTTATCACTTATTAAAGCTGATTGTTTAATATTATTTTCAGTAATTAAATTGTCATTTGCACTAACATCACTGCCATTTGTTAATTTACGCTTTTTTAAAAATCTATCCATTTTTAAATTTAACTTACAATATTTCTTGATCAAAATATCTATACAGTAAAATGCATTACAATTACAGGCGCTCAATTTTCATTATAATGAGCATCGGCTATGTTTTCATGTAGTCATTTTAGTATGTGGTAAAAATCAACGAAATTGCTTGTAATACCAGTATCGGGTAGTATCGGATCCCATATAATATTATAGCTGTTTTATCAGGACATTTTATCATTTTTTATTTTCAAGGGAATTTTGAAGTCAATGCTATCATAAATATAAATTACAATTTTGATTATTATATTTAATTATGCTTGAAAAATTATAAAATTACAAAACTTATATAGCACACCTGAATAATTTTGCAGCACAGCATTTGGAAATCCCTAAATTATGCACTTGCTGATAGCTGGTAAAAATAATTAAGGTAATTAATGACTCATGATCCCGACGAATTTCCAGTCGGGTTGAGAATTAAACTTGTTATAATAACTATTAAATTCTACGAATGAAAATCAACGATGTGAAACAATTATTGTCAACACAAACAATTTATTATTTAATTATGCAAGAATTATTGTCCATAACGATTTCTGAGTTCTATATTAATACAAACAACTTATTTGTTATTTTTTTTTGGTACCACGTTATCTTATCTTTTGAGGAATCCATTACAATTGATAACGATGTTTTACCATAATCCACAGGCCTGACACTAAGAAAAGTGGAAAACTAAAAACTGGATTACTTTCCTGTATGAATGATAATGATCGTCGCCAAAAAATTTTTTTTTTTTTTCACCGGAATGCCTCCTCAAGTTCTCATAAATTGATGACTACAAAACACATACCGGAAAAATAATAAATACTGCTGTGATTATTGAAAAATGCAGACAGAATAATATTATATAATTCTATACAGATATATATATATAACTGGTGCTCGGTTTTTCATTGCCCTGGTCAATGCTTTATAATAAAAAATATTAATTAAAATCACAAGGCCCATTAAAACATGTAAGACAAGCACGGGGTACATAAGTCCTATTTGACCATCCCTAGTATCGGTACTAAATATAATAGTACACAGGCCCGTACTGGCTGATCTTATGGGGTAGTTACGAAAATATTTAAGGGCACCTTAACTTTTGTTTTTTAATCCTTCAGGTTACCTATGGCCCAATAAATTACAGATTAAAGAATCATAATTTAGGTGTAATGCTTATCTTCACAAAAATATAAACGTTTTTCAATGACGTATTACTGAAGACCATCGAATTATTACTTGTTAGGTAATGAGAAACAATGAATATCTCTCCAAAATCTTAATGTAGCCATAATTTTTATGGGCGCATCATGCATAGTAATTTTCATGGGCGCTTCGTGCATCTGCCCGGTTGCCCGGTGGGTCAGTACAGGCCTGGTAGTACATGAGCGTTATTATTAGTGGTTGTGGGAATGCTAACAGTCAGTGCATTTTATAGAACCTCGTGGACTACGGCGTTAAATATTTAGCAGACTACAATATAACAGATAACAATATCAATACATGTAATGAGTATTAAATACTCATTTTTAATATAAAATATAAATTTTGTAGAAAATACGTCAAATTATCTATCATATTGGGTACAAATTTCAAGTACCACCCGAACGGTTATACTGCAAATGGCATCCGAATTTGAGATTTTTTGAGCCGCTGGGACCAGTTGTCGATGCCATGACAAATACCGAAGGTGCGGTTAGTGTAAGTTTATTTGATAATATGTAGCATTTGACTAGGTAAAAAAGAAGAGGGACTCTGTTTGCTTTTTTTTAAAAAAAAAGCATCCCAAAACTTGTTAAGCGTTATAATTATAACGTAATAATAGAAGGGGGACGTTAAAATTTCTGAAAATTAGTTGGAGTACTCCGTTCCCTTGCGTCCCTCCATAAGTCGAGCATTGATTATAAAAGTCTAATTTAAGGTGTGAGAGAAGTATAATTATGCTGTGCTTTTACAAGTTTTCTTTAAAAATATGATAAATATTAACAAATCTTTGGTGTACATAAATTAGTAAATTGGCTCACGTGCCGAATGATATCTAAGACGACACAGACCAAACAGTGACATAATTCAACCATTTAATTTGGTTTTTTTTTATCTATAATGCGTGAAATGCGCAAGAAAAAAACAATACCCGGAAAAAGAAAATTAAAAAAAATAATGAATAATAATTCTTGGAATCTTACACGCGCTCATTATATACAGTTGAAGCTAGAACGTTAATTATTCGCACTGTGAAATTTCAAAATTTTTCATACGTTTGTGTAATATTTGTACATTTTTTTTTTTTTTTGTGAACAGTTACAGTACCTACCTACTTTAAACACTGCAACTGAACAAGTTTAAAAGGTTCTGGTGTACAAAATAAAAGAAAATAATTAAATTGCCATGGTACTGGAATCAGGTGCTAGAAGTATTGGCGCCTTGGGTGAAACCATGTTTTAGCGCCCTTAACTCACTTGGTTTGAGTAGTAATAAAATTAAGATTTTTAGCGAATTTAAATAAAATTAATATGTATTTAGTATTATAACTTAGTATAATATCAGTGCATTTTTTGGACAGGTTTTTTTTTCGTTCCAAGAATATAATTGTTCTAATTTTGAGCTTGACGTTTTTTTACTATTTGAAAAGTTTTTTGGGGAATATATTATTTCACGCTGCCACTGCCTATAATATAGGAATACTGTGTTTTACTAACTACTTATTTATTAAGACAACCAGATAACGGAATTAATTATAAATAACTAATAAGAAACCAAAATATTATGTACAAATTAACTAAATAAAAAATATGAATATTGATTACCTGTTGACTATAATTTGTTTACATCTGACATTACACAGCAGATCGTACGTAGCGAGACATCGACGAAAACAATAAATTGTGCGTGTGTGTCAGGTAAACTGTCTTTTTGATTTACGCTACCAGCGGTATTTTCGCCGTAAGGACCAAATGATTTTAACGACGCTATTTTTACGTAATTTTATTCATAAATGGGTAAATATTTTATGAAAATAATTATTACGACCATCTACATTATATATCATTTACACACACAAATGCGGTGGTATTCAGTATGTTTTCATGCATTATTATTACATCAAAACTAGCTGTATCGATATAGTATTGAAGTAGAAAGCACAACTGTTATATTCTTACTTTCTGTAGATTGTTATGACAGGCGCACCACAGTGTTGATCAATTGCAAAGGCCACAAGCTATAATAACTATAGTAGTAGAATCAAATTTCTTAATAAGGTTTATTAGGTCAAATTTAAAATCGATTTAGTTAAAAACAGTATACTGCATTTTTTTTTTTTTACCTTTCGTCATTTTTTTTCAATTATTAAAAAACCTATTGAAAATCTTGATAAATCAACCTCCAGAGTACATTTACCAACAGAAACTTCATTTGATTGTATTGATCGGAGCAATATTTCAGGTTGAAATTATGTACACAAATTCCAAGAAATTAGTGCGTAAAAAAATATTAGACGGTGTTGAGTTTCCCGATTTCGGTTGAAGTTTTTTGGAATTTATTCTCTATTTTTTTCATTTATTCGAAAAA